GGGTTTAACCCCCTCGCTTCCCCGTAGTCCAGTCCTATGCCCGGGTCCACTCCGGCTGGTCCAACAGGGTTCGCTCCCGATCTGCTGGCCCAGCCGCCTTCCAGCAGCGGCCTTGGTCCTTGCCCACTATCTCTCGTTTGCTGCTGGAGAAATCCCCCGCCACCGCCGAGCGGCAGCGTGGGCTCTTCTCGTTGGCCTCTGGGGGCAGCAACCCAGCCACCCCTACTGGCTGCATCCGCCACGACGCTGCCAGGCTCCTTCTTCTTCACCGACTCCTCCACCAGGGCCGCCAATTGCGAAATCTGCCGTTGCAAACTTGCAAGCTCCGCGTCGCGGCCCTCCTGCACCGGCGGGCAGATCTGTTCTCCGCTCGCAGCAGCGCGCTCTTCGTCTCCAGCAGAGCTCATCCCGATGTGGCTTCCCTCGAGGGGCAAAACTCTAGAGTGTTTGCGGCCTACGCCACTTATTTATCGGGTGAGACTGTTTTGGTGATGTATTAACTTTACGGGAGGTAGACGACCGTCCTTCACACGGACGAAAGAGGGAGTGCTCAAAGAGCGGCTCCCACAGCAAGGAGGGGCCCCGTGAATCATCGCGGTGCCCCCTATCAAACGGTTATCTTACCAGTCTGCGTGACACAAAATCATCCAGCACATGTATCCAACAGCAATGTTCGCAGACCCACGAACACCCTCCCTGGTTCTTCACGCAAGTGACTAACCATCAATTGGGCAAGAACGCCCCAGGATANGAATCATCGCGGTGCCCCCTACCAAACGGTAATCTTACCAGTCTGCGTGACAAAACATCATCCAGCACATGTATCCAACAGCAATGTTCGCAGACCCACGAACACCAATTAGTTTGATATTTTTTCCGCTCACAAAGGAAATAACGTATTCCTGTGGTGGTAAGCGGTAACCAACTCAGAACGTACACAGCATGGGTCACATAGGTAGGCAGGAAGATAGACTGGGAGGTGCAACTCTTCTCTTTCCCTGAGCACACCCTGATTTTTCCTCCCCTCGGGGGTATGACCTTCAGTTTTCAGAATGCTACTCCTACATTGAAGTACTTACACGAAGTGCTCCGGCACAATGTCACGAAAGTGAGCAGCCAAGGTGCTGAACATTTGATCAAAGCCACTATTTGCTTCGGCCGACTCATTACTCTCGACGATGGTCTTTACTTTGTAGGTACTGCTATTTTCCCAAGAACGTCATCCAGTGCCTCGTGATCATCACATGTTGCATGTATGCCTATGTGTATTTCGCATATGACTTCTGCAGTATTAACATTTTCACGTCCTTTCATCTTGTATCACCTAAATCGTGCGTTCCAAGACCCGTCTACCCACTGCGCAGAAAGCATCTTGCAAACCGCTTAAAAACAAAGTACGACGGCTATCACCACACGCAGACAAACGATTTTCCACCAGAGACGACAGACAGGCGTGGGACAAGAAATTTTCTCCAAAGAACAACTTTAGTGTGAAACAGATGCACACGACGTTCACCTTTCTTTGTCCAAAGATGGGCCCAGGTGCAAGAGAATGATGCTATCGTTATTCTGTATCGTTACCGTCACTCAATTCAAGGCACCCACAAAAGAGGCATAAGTTCAGGATTCACAGCATTCGTCGCTGGATAGAGGCCAAAAATGTCGTTCATCCAAACACAACAGCCCTACAGTAGTTGTATATTACACCCACCACACAGCATGGTGATCAGGGCCAGAAGGAAAGGAAAGAGGCCGAGGTCTAATTGACGACAATACAGCTTATTCAGCAATTTCCTTATATAGTCTAGCTCGCCAGCGCGCACGCTGTACCTCCAACGGTGAGGGACAGCGTACTCACACGTACGTGCTGTAGCAGTAGTAGGTAGACTAACTGCGTCACTGCTGTTGGGTGTGATTGGATCCTTCTCTCCCCGAGCAGGTGTACCCTCAAAGCGAGTCTTGCACCTTCTGCGGTAGTACAAAATCCACCTCTCTTTGCCACATTTGCAGCAGCAGACGAAGGCACTCCCCCCTTGTTCGATCTTGCCGCATTGTCGTGTGCAATTCCGAACAACTCTTGTTGTAGAGGTCGGTGAAAAGAAATATTTGGTGCTCTCGGCGTTCTCTCACCGTCTTTGCTCTCCTTTCACGATCATGCCCTAAGGACAGAGTGTGTATATGCAGTGGAGAAGGGGATCAAACAAGGCAGCAGGTGCAGCAGGAACGGCCCTAAGTGCTATCCTTTGGAACCAGGGAAAACACAAGAGGTAATGAGAACAGCAGCTCAGATGAGACCAGCAGCTGCCAAAAGGCCCACCAGCCACTCGTTTCTCGAGCGACATCGGGTCGCTGCAGATAACAAGTCCTTCACGGTCGGTGTTCTCACTCCATCTTCCTGAGCACGAGTTCCACGCACACGCCTGATCACGCGATCCAACGTCCCAGCAGCAGGTCTGGGCCCACAGGTCTGATGTACCCTGCCTGCTATTTGCCGCACGCACGCCCGGCCTCTTTATCCCCCTACTTTGAAACAGAGGTGTATTCTGGCGCCCCCCTGTCTGTTTGTCTGTCACACAAACTACAAGATAACTGTCTCTCCCGGTCTCGTCTCGGTCTGCCTCTGTTTCGCGCAGTCTCGTATTACCCCTCTCGCTCCATCCAGCTGACAACATTACAGTTACATCGCTATTCCGCACGCCAATCCACACCTTTCGTTCGGGTGATCAATGTTAGCAACGCGTTACAGCAGTTTAGCCTTGTAGAGCTTGCAATTCGCCGCATGAAGGAGAGGAAAAAGTATCATCATTACACAGTTTCGGACTGGGGCTCCAAATTTTCCGGTTCGGAAGCAGATTTTGAGTTAAGAAAGTCTCCTGGAAACTTCGTGCAGGTGAAATTTTTCAGATTTAGATTAGGCGGCTTCATGTGATTGGCTGTGGGTCAACAGTCCTCCCACGAACTTCCCCTGTCCGCAGGTGCTGTAACAGCACCTGTCTGTGTTGTTTTTTCGTGGTGCGCTGCGTGACAGCTAGCTGTGCACCTTGCTTGATGACAAGGGGCTCTCACTTTTGCTGCTGTTGAGTGTGCGTGCGTGCGTGCGTGCGTGCGTGCGTGCGTGCGTGCGTGCGCGTGTCTGTGTCTGCGTCACTCCCTCAACTCCAGCACACGAAATCACACCACACCAGTACGGAGACAGGGAGTGATTACTGTACACTGGCCGACGACAGCCTCTGAACGAAGTGCTATGTCGCGTTTCAAGCGTTCGGAAGAGAGACGGGGGGCTTGGGACCGGGAGGCACATCCGAGTCAAAAGCTCTTCTTTATAGTAGACACCAGAGAAAATACTCTTGCGCGCGGAAGGACGCGACCGCCTTCACCAGGAGGCAGGCCACTAAGTGCTCTTCTTCCTCTTCTCTGCTCTTCTTTGCTGGCGGCGTTGCCACCACCTCTAGGTTCTTGCGCTCCTCCCCCTTACCTCAATCTGACGGGCGTGTTACTGACCTTAAGCCAGCCGGAAACAACCCCAACTTTCTGCCCGTGCAGCCTCCCTGTTTTTGTGTTGGTGGCGCGCCAACTCCAAGGCCTTTTGCTGGGCGCTGGCCTTCGCTTTGGCCGCGCTGACATGTTCTCAGCAGACTGCTGTGTGTGCGTGCGGTGATGCGTGTGATGTGTTACTTCGAAGAAAGTTGCTAAATCGAAGAATAGTGAAATTTTTCCCACAAACAAACCTAGCCTCCCTCGGCTCTTAAGTCTGTAATTTTTTCCTTGTTGTGGGTTCTGGCGAGACTGTCAGGAGCGATCCTCAGAACGATGGCTTAACTCAATATATGTTTCCTTATTTCGGAAGAATTTTGAGTCCGAAAGTAAGTGTCAATTGTTGAAAACGCTTTTTTCTGTGAAAGAGAGTTTCGACCGGCGGCAAAACTGCGCTCGAGAATCACCACCCATGCCTTACGCCATGGATTGGCTAGCCTTCTCTTCCACCCCGTGGTTGGTTGACTGGTATGCGTATGGTACAAGGACTATCTCTCACTACACTGGTCTTGCATCCACAATGAAAAGCCACCTTTTAATATTTGACAAATTTGCCGCTCGGTAGAGCGGGTTATTTACCCAACGTGTGTCTTTTCTCATTGAATTGTGTGGTTGGCGCTCCATTGGAATCAATATCTTCTTCGCGTAGGCTTGACTCACGCCAGATCACATTCATTCTAAAATGTACATCGCACATATTTTCACCAGGTGATCGAACAGCCGGTCGGTCCGTACGTTCATCTTGTCCCGTTATCTACCCAACAAAATTCGATGGTTTCGATTTTCAAGCAACATAGGACAGCTCCCTGGGCACTCACTGGACAAATGGGCAGGGGTATTGGATGTTTGGACGTCTCCCTTCCACCATCTTTGACTCTCCGTCTCATAGCTCGACGGAAGCACAGGACTGTCAACGAAGAACGCCTCTTTTCATTTATCATACATTAATCGGTTGGTTCGACCTAACAAAGGTGCCGGGCCAGGCGCCAGAGACCCAACGCGAAATCGTACCCAGGACAAAGGCTGATTGTTACATAAGCCTACAGGTCTGTGGTGGCAGTTGCATGGTGCACACCACGTGAGAGTTTTGCTTACCGTGGTGTACAAGACAGCGGAGATGTTTTGTTTTCCTCTGCACACAAGCACATTTTTCACCATAGACTATGCTGTTTGTGGGCACTCTCTCTACAAAGCATCACTGATATGCTGTAAATCATCAGTGCATAGACTTAAATGCTCGAAATAAGTCCAGTATCATCCAATCACTGAAAAGACTCCACCACATCCCGTTCGACTGTGGGTATATCTCGGATGGGCAGTCTTTCTGTGTGTGAATTTTCCCTCAAATATGCGCGCAGACCGCGCCACACCTGGGAGTTAAGAATTCCAAGTTCGAGAAACGACAATTTTGAGAAAATGAACGTGAGAACGGGTGGCCGGTCAAGAAACCTAGACTAAAAAACTTTCATATATGTAGCATCGTCGAGATGTTGGAGTGCCCGACAGAGAAAATTAGAGGAGGGCCTCGGACAAAATGAGGACCGCGCGTTCTGCATCTGCTTCTACGACAATGAACCATCACTACGTACTGTACATATAGCGTATAGCTAAACGAGATAGTGAAACTGCATCCCCCTTTTTTTGTGATTTAGGTCAAATATCATGTTCAGTGTTAGGGGTGCTCTTGGTTTCAGCTTCCTCGGTTCTAATGCAAAAAAAGAAGCGATCAATCAGCTACCATTCTGCCGTGTCAAACATCTTCCATTGTACTGTAGCCGGGAGGCGTCCGAAGCACCAATAACTGTTGTGTGCTTACTCAGTCTACGACTAGTACATAGAAGTAGTTATTTCACGCGCTTCACGTACTCCGCCATCTCGACCACTCTGGTTACCGTCTTGATCTCTGCTGCCGCAGCAAGTCCCCCTGTGTTTTCTCTCCCAGAGCCCATCCTCTTGCTCCTACTCCTTTTCCGCCTGTTCTCTGGCCTGCTGCTGCCATATCACCCCACGCATCCAACGAGGTTCTGTTATTAGGTGCCACCGCCACTGCCGATGCCGATGCCGATGATCTCGCTTCTTCAATCATCGCTGCGGCTGAGATCACTGCCGCAGACTTCTCTGCTGCACGCCCGCATGGCGTGCTTGCTCGACGTAAGCCGGTCTGACGGGCCCGCTGTGTTGTCGCCATCGTTTCGTACGCCCCTCTTCCCGATCCCCCCCTCCGCTCTACCCTACCCCCGGCCTCGAGAGGAGACAGTGGCGGGACTTGCTGCCGCTGGCCTGAGGATTTTCTCCTGGTGTTGCTCCTGCTGTTCGTGGTGGTGTTACCAAATCGTGCCACTTGTTCATCAGGGTCGAGGTTTGAGCGACGGGTCGAGGTCCCCTCCTCCTTCCTGGGCGAACCCTTACCCAGGACGGCACCCCCCTCGCATGGGCGAAGCGAAGAGGCGAATGGGCGAGGGTCGCGCGAGGGGGACGAACGGCCAAAACCACCCCCTGTCGCTGAAGATCTGGATTTACCGCCTAGCTGCCGGGCCATCCCCCACTCTCGCGTGGCTTGCGTTTCGTTGTTGCTTCCCCTGGCGGCTCGCGTCCCTTCGGCCGAAGCCTCTGCTGCCGCTGCGCTACGCGCTTGCTCTGCCCGAAGCTCTTCTTGATCCTCCCGTCGCGCCGGCAGAACTCCGGGTGCGCGCCTCGTACTTGTGCAACTTCCAGCCTGAGATTTGTGGTCGCCACGGAGTAGCAAGAGCGTGTCCGGGCGTGCTTTTACACATTACGAGGAACAGGGTGATTCGGAGGACCGTGGTTCGCTACTAATGTGCGTGGGAGTTTTGGGGTGGAGTGGTGTGGTTCAGGTGTGGTTCCGGAGGCTAAGTCTCCTTCATTTGCTGACGTTGGCACGCTTGGCCTCCGTTATGACGTTTGTCGTGTTGCCATACAGGAGGATGTCTGTGTGGTGCGAATTTGTTGCCTCGCAAAGTTAGGGCAGGCATGAAAGTGTCCTTTGTTTTGCAGGTCCGAACAGCAGAACAATAGGTGCACTCCGTTTTTCGAGCGTAAGGGCCGGTGAGTGCTTGCGTTGGGCATGGATGTGATGGTCGTCATTTGCGACGTTTACCGCACGGGCTTTGAAGATAGCCATACAGGCGGTGAGGTTATTGTTTTTTTTGCTCTCCTTGCTTTGCAACCGTTGTCATCCAAGCAATCGAGCCAATGTGTTGCGCTTTCGACATCAAAAGGCGATAACACAAACAACGCAAGGTAAGCCAACAACTGGGCCTGATTCACGATGCAGACGTACATCTGCTCGTGTGCAAATCTACTTACTTGTATCGACGCTTCAGCAGAGAACACGCACAGCCCTGTCTCCAACCGTGTAGAGGAACGGTGAAAGGCCGAGAACATACACGCACCAACAGATGCAGATCGGTTGCAGTCGTCCGGGTCTTCCGCCGACCACTACAAGGAACGACGATTTGTTGAAGGTGGTCTCACCTCACCCCCCGCCCTCCCGTACGGAAGCCGACTTTTACCTTTACTTTTTATTTTGCGACATTGGAGGGCATGATCCATTGCTGGCACCGCGGAATTGTTTAGCTTGTACTATTGTTCAGCAGATAGAACGTACCCGCTGTCGGAACGCGACCCCCTCTCGGTGCATCGGACCCTCCATCTGCTCAAGGTAGTGCTGCTGAGGCCCGATGACGCTTCCCTATATCATTGTGAGGAGACGATAGTGTTCAAGTGGACACTGAATGCGATGTAGAAGTGACAAGGTTACCAACTGGCCAAAGAGAAGCAGTATTTGCTTCGAAACACGCTAAAAACGGAGACTGACTGCGTCGTGAAAGCGATTCGCGGTCTCCCGACGCCGATGACTCTGTTCTTGCCGATCTTCACATCCATACTAGTTACTTGTCTCGCCGAGTAGTCGCAATGTTATTGTGAGTGTTACCGAGATATGTTCAAGGCACCACCCACTTCTATTTTGTTGGGAAAAAACTATATTTACCTCATTACTTTGGCTGGCCAGTTTTCCCCATACCCAAACATGTACCGCTCATTTGTGCTAAAGCAGAACCTGTGCAGCATGTCATCCGTTCGCTTGGATTCTTACCGGGCGGCATATCCGCATCCATCCGATCACCTCAGCTGCCGTAAAGCTATAGTGCTTCATGATGTAGCAACCGATGCACGTCCCAGTTCGGCCAAGTCCGGCCTTGCACAAACGGTCGCGCGGTGGGGTAAGGGGGGCGGTTGAGAGGAGAGTTTATCCAGAGCTACAGCACGCCGAAGGGAGGAGGGCATCTGGCTGCTTGCGACCACCGTTGCCGCCGAGCATGTACAGAAATCTGCCAACTGACGAGCCGACACTTCCACGGCTTATGTGAGGACAATCGTGAGTACTACCTACCTCGCACCCGGCGCTCGACTATCGTGAGTACTACCCCTCAGCCATCCGTTTCGCCACGGCTAGAGAACGAATGGTACTTGGTGCACGTCACTCCTCGTGAATCGAGTGCCGTAAGCGTTCGCACAGGGGTTCACAAGTAGAAACAAACTATGTCACCTTGCAGTGTACCGCCACCGCCCCCGGAGTAGCTTCGCAAGCGGCGATGAACCGACGAATAACGCTAGGCGGCGGCACGCTGCCGTCCAAGAAGTACGCCTCCAGGTGGTCGATCCCGGCGTCCAGAAACAAGCCCTCGTCGTAGTATTTCTTATTCAACCTCACCTGTGTTTGGTAAGAAGAAATTTCCGCTAGATCTCTAGAGTAAATCGGTTTGGCGTGAGCCCACTCTTTTGTTTTCGACGACAGGGAATAGTCAGAGAGCGAGATGCGTTGGTTCACGACAAGTTGGTGCGTATTTTGTTCAGCGTATGGGCAAATGTGCCCACCGGTTGTGTTTCCTGTGAGGATGACGGCTTATTTGTTCGAAAAACGTTTTCGTCGTGTATGGGCGGGCACACCTTGCGGGCAGCCTGTGGAGGAGTGTCATTGAAACAAGAAATTTACATAGTGTGAAGGTTGGTGGAAAACACGTACAACGTGGTCATGCAAGTCTTTTGTCAGATCTTGGCATGAATGACAGCGCGTTCGACTGAGGTGGGGGTTGTACTCATAGTCGTGCATGCCGTAGTCGTTAGACCATTGACCTCGCATCCCTACAAAGCCGGGACGGAGCACGCCGGGTTCTCACCGGACCAGGCTCTCACATCACCAAGCGCGAAGCGCCGTGAGATATTCGGCGAGTCGCATGAAGGGTGCGCTGCATCCTGCTAAGGGTGTTCGGCATCTTGTGCTTACTTCCTTGCGTACGGATGACAGCTGCGTATGAATTAATTTATTTTCTGGTGCTTTCACTTCCAGAGACAGTTGTAAGCACTGTGTAACTGCCTCGAGGGTGCTTGACCATTTTAACACAACGTGGTGCGATCATCCCCCTTGCGCGGAGTGAGGCTTGTCCACCCCGCACAACACGATCTACTCGGCCACCATTCATGGTTACCGCCAAAAAAGAAACAGAGGTAAAAAAATAAAACGGTAACCTGGTTGCCGAGTTCACAAAGTGAATTGGCTTGTTTTAC